TCATTCACTCATATCTAAACGGGAGGACGCAGGTGACAAGAGTTAATAACTCTACATCTGACTCCTTGCCGATAGTGAGAGGGGTACCACAAGGATCAATCTTGGGCCCTCTCTTATTTCTGTTGTTCTTCAATGATTTTGCTTATTACATAAAAGCAGGTCTTGATAACTGTGATTGCATCCTATATGCTGATGATGCTACAGTCTTAATAAGAGGTAGAAATCGGGATGATACTGCTAGTGGGGCTGAGTTGGCTCTGTCGAGGGCGCGGGACTGGTGCCTTGCGAACGAGCTTTGTCTTAATGAAAATAAAACTGTCACACTTCCGTTCACATTGTGGCAGATTGACGCTCCTTGTCCCGATGTAACCAAGTTTTTGGGCCTCTCATCGCCGCTCCTGCGTTGCGTTTTCACGAACATAGTGTGGAGATGGGCAAACAAGTTAACCGTAATATATTTCTCCTAAGGCGGCTTGCAGTAACTGTTACGCCAAAAGTAGTAAAAAGTGCTTATTTTGCATTTGTTCATTCCATACTGTCTTACTCTATACTAGCATGGGGAGCAGCCCCTGAAGCTGCTCACATGTTCGGGCTGCAGCGCAGGGCGGTAAGAATAGTAACGGGTTTAGGTTATCGTGATGATTGCAGAAATGCTTTTATTGCGCAGTCTATACTCACCATTCCATCTCTGTACATCCTTCGCTGCGTGGGATACATCTTGGAGAGCATGAACTCCTTAAGGATGCACGGTGATATTCACCCGTATGAAACGCGTGGGAGAGAAGACCTCTACCCAGACTTTGCGCGGTTATGCAAGACACAATCAGGTTCTATATACATGGGACAGAAATTGTATAATCACCTGCCACATAGTGTGAGAGCTCTTCCAGCGGACGAGTTGCTTGGGAGGTTAAAAGCATTCTTGCTAAAGAAGGGATTCTATTCTATACGGGAATTCCTTGAGACCTCCGTAGACCTATTTAGTGCTTGAGATTCATTTTCTCTTTTTTTGTATACTGTAATTTTGTGGTTTGTAGGGTCGTTTGATTATATTTTAATTAATTAATTGATATTTTATTGTACTACAGATTGACGAGTATAAAGAGTGTAAGTTTCTTATTAGCACAATAAAGAATATATTAATATTAATAGAATGAATGCTTTTATTTCTGTTTTCTCTATTCTAAGGTGGTGATTCTTCTGATTTGCATAACGATTACTTTCGATTACTATTAGATCCAGTATTTCATCATCAAAGAAAAGAAAACAGCTCCAAAGGACTTATATCGTTATCTACTTGGCCATTAAAAATTATATTATTAGGCTCCAAGTTGTTATCCGTCCATTTATAACTTTTCTCTTTTTTCGTATTTTCTCAAAGCTGAAAGAGGAATTTCGTCGTCTGAAGAAAAATCGTCATCATTCTTTTGATTTTGATTCTGGCAGTCAATATTTCGGAAATTTATTAATTAGTTGGAAGAGATTCAACTAACTTTTCCGGTAAATCAACCAAGCACCTATTTAATGTATCAGGATCAAAGGTAGCTGAAGATTTCTTTCGATGGCCTATATTTCCATTTATTACATTCCAGCTAGACTTCATCCTATTGGTTGATTGTTTTATACACTGTGAAGCTGCCTGAGTTTTGGCAGTCTCTAAAGCTGTCCTGTATTGTGATTTTTCAGGGTTAGCAAATTACCTGTCTTGTACTTTTTATATAAATTGCAAACAAATTGAAAGCTTTGTCTCATGTTTCTTAAAGAATCATTAAACCACATAATACCATTATCTCTGTTGCGACTCTCGTTCATAGATGTCGTTAGTGAGCGATCGAAGGGACACACGTGTCGAGTTGTTACCCGCGAAAAGGGATCAGTCCGTTACGAGCAGCGATGACGGACGCTTCCAAACATTATATTTGTGTTAAACAAAATAAATTAAAACAAAAATAGAAGCTTTTCATTCAACTATATACAGTCCACAACAATCTCTATTTCTCGATTGGCATTGGCGTTCAGGATAGCTAATCCATAAATTTAAGATGGAAAAGCTCGAACTTGGCATTCATTTCTAAATAATCGTCATTCAAAAAATCCCAGCTTATGGCACTAAATTCATTGAAAAAACTTATAGTTCCAGCCTGAGTTAGTCGACACGATCAACACACTCAATTGGCAGTGGCATGATGATCCGACAGATCACAATTGACAACCTTAGCTTGGCATGTAGTCGCAGAAAAGTTAACAAATATGTTGTCCAAACAACTGTTCAATCTAGTGGCAGTATTTATTGTTTTAACCAATTTCTTTACCACTTGATGCATCATCTATATCTGTACCATTTACTTGTAAATATTCCTCGTCATCAGAGCTAAGTTCTTCCAAAAAGTTGAGTAATTCGTCAGCAGTATTCCGATAGATACATTTGCTGTTCAATGGCAGAAAGAATTTTGCAAAATTGCTTCAGAGGATTGGAATCAAAAAATTAAGAAGCTCCATCAGTGATGGGTTAATGTAGAAGAAAATCAAATGACTCCTCGTTATCGTGCGAAGTGGTAACTTCTTAAAATTGTTTAGATTTATTCTGCAAATAATCATTTCTAAAATTTCCTCATGTTTTAAACGAGATTTACGTAACTAAATAACCAAATGTAAATGTTTTATAGTTCCCAATGTAAATCATAAATTTAACGTCTGCACTGGAATTTAACTGTCCACGACGGCAACGCAAGGGTCACTTTCAGAATTTGAATTTACTGAAATTTTGCGACCTCAACCATTTCAACTTAATGCTTGTACAAAGCAAAAATTTTATTTAAACTTCAAATTAAAAGTTTTATTTGAAATTTTTGCGCCGTTATAACATGTTATTGGAGTTTGATAACACTTACATTGAAATATGTACGCTGTCAGCATTTTCCTTTTATAGCTTCGAAATCTAAAACAAAAACAAATAAAATTCGTTTATAAAAATTGCGGGTTAAAAACGTTATTATTATAAAAACGGAGCTTTTTGATACCGAATAAATTTTTTTACAACGCCGTAAAATTCAAAATCAATACTTTCCGAACAACGCAAATATTCGTTTCCTAAAAAATGTTTACCGTTAGTTTTAAACTCGCTTTGACATCGTATACATTAAAAACAAATTACTCCATAAAGCTTTGTGTCTAAAACGATTTTTGGTTTTGTTATAATGCAGTTTCGCTTTAAATAATTACTTTGTTTTTTTTACATACGAAAATAAATAATTTAATTTTGGGAATAATTCGCAACGTTGAAACGAAAATAAAAATGGATAATTTGAAGCAAAACTAAAATTTTTGAGTAATGAAAAACTCCAAATTTAAAGCGTCCCTGAGTTTGTTTATCTCAAATCTTCAATCTCTCGGTTCTTTAATTTCGAGTAAAGGTGCTTGTGAGCGAGAAGTAAGTAAAATACGGCCAAACAAACAAATAACAAGGAACACAAAGTTGCGACTTATGAAAACTCTGGTTTTCCGATATTTTTATGCGCAGTTGAGAACTTATTACGCTTTTAAGATATCTAAAACAACAATTAAACATGCAGAGTTGGGTTTAAAAAATCATGACAAGGATGTTTATGCAAAATAAGAAATTATTTATAGCACATCAAATCTTCATTAAATTTGCTTTAAAACGTTCTTTATTTCATACTGATATCTCAATTCGTTCTTAAGATACGATATTTTTAAATTTATATTTCATGTCTATAACAATCAAACATGCTCAATTGGATTTAAATAATCATAACAACGACGTTTATGAAAAATAAGAAATTATTTGTGGCACATTAAATCTTCTTCGAATTTGCTTTAAAATGTTCTTTGTTTCATGATGATATCTCAATTCGTTCTTAAGATACGATTTTTTTAAATTTATATTTCATATCTATAACAACCAAACGTGTAGAGTTGGGTTTAAAAAATCATAACAAGGATGTTTATGCAAAATAAGAAATTATTTATAGCACATCAAATCTTCATTAAATTTGCTTTAAAACGTTCTTTATTTCATAATGATATCTCAATTCGTTCTTAAGATACGATATTTTTAAATTTATATTTCATGTCTATAACAATCAAACATGCTCAATTGGATTTAAATAATCATAACAACGACGTTTATGAAAAATAAGAAATTATTTGTGGCATATTAAATCTTCTTCGAATTTGCTTTAAAATGTTCTTTGTTTCATGATGATATCTCAATTCGTTCTTAAGATACGATATTTTTAAATTTATATTTCATGTCTATAACAATCAAACATGCTCAATTGGATTTAAATAATCATAACAACGACGTTTATGAAAAATAAGAAATTATTTGTGGCACATTAAATCTTCTTCGAATTTGCTTTAAAATGTTCTTTGTTTCATGATGATATCTCAATTCGTTCTTAAGATACGATTTTTTTAAATTTATATTTCATATCTATAACAACCAAACGTGTAGAGTTGGGTTTAAAAAATCATAACAAGGATGTTTATGCAAAATAAGAAATTATTTATAGCACATCAAATCTTCATTAAATTTGCTTTAAAACGTTCTTTATTTCATAATGATATCTCAATTCGTTCTTAAGATACGATATTTTTAAATTTATATTTCATGTCTATAACAATCAAACATGCTCAATTGGATTTAAATAATCATAACAACGACGTTTATGAAAAATAAGAAATTATTTGTGGCATATTAAATCTTCTTCGAATTTGCTTTAAAATGTTCTTTGTTTCATGATGATATCTCAATTCGTTCTTAAGATACGATTTTTTTAAATTTATATTTCATATCTATAACAACCAAACGTGTAGAGTTGGGTGTAAAAAATCATGACAAGGATGATTATGCAAAATAAGAAATTATTTATAGCACATCAAATCTTCATTAAATTTGCTTTAAAACGTTCTTTACTTCATAATGATATCTCAATTCGTTCTTAAGATACGATTTTTTTAAATTTATATTTCAAATCTATAACAACCAAACGTATAGAGTTGGGTTTAAAAAATCATGACAAGGATGTTTATGCAGAATAAGAAATTATTTATAGCACATCAAATCTTCATTAAATTTGCTTTAAAACTTTCTTTACTTCATAATGATATCTCAATTCGTTCTTAAGATACGATATTTTTAAATTTATATTTCATATCTATAACAATCAAACATGCTTAATTGGATTTAAATAATCATAACAACGACGTTTATGAAAAATAAGAAATTATTTGTGGCATATTAAATCTTCTTCGAAGTTGCTTTAAAATGTTCTTTGTTTCATGATGATATCTCAATTCGTTCTTAAGATACGATATTTTTAAATTTATATTTCATAACAATCAAACATGAAGAGTTGAATTTAAAAAATTATAACAACGATGTTTATGCAAAATAAGAAATTGTTTATGGCACATTAAATCTTCATTAAATTTACTTTAAAACGATCTTTATTTCATGATGATATCTCAATTCGTTCTCGAGATACAATTATTTAAAATTTATATTTCATATCTATAACAACCAAACATGTAAAGTTGGGTTTAAAAAATCTTATAAATTATTTATAGCACATTAAATCTTTATTAAATTTGCTTTAAAACGTTCTTTAATTCATAATGATATCTCAATTCGTTCTTAAGATACGATATTTTTAAATTTATATTTCATGTCTATAACAATCAAACATGCTCAATTGGATTTAAAAAATCATAACAACGACGTTTATGAAAAATAAGAAATTATTTGTGGCACATTAAATCTTCTTCGAATTTGCTTTAAAATGTTCTTTGTTTCATGATGACATCTCAATTCGTTCTTAAGATACGATATTTTTAAATTTATATTTCATGTCTATAACAATCAAACATGCTTAATTGGATTTAAATAATCGTAACAACGACGTTTATGAAAAATAAAAAATTATTTGTGGCATATTAAAACTTCGTCGAATTTGCTTTAAAATGTTCTTTGTTTCATGATGATATCTCAATTCGTTCTTAAGATACGATTTTTTTAAATTTATATTTTTTATCTATAACAACCAAACATGTAAAGTTGGGTTTAAAAAATCTTATTAATTATTTATAGCACATTAAATCTTTATTAAATTTGCTTTAAAACGTTCTTTATTTCATAATGATATCTCAATTCGTTCTTAAGATACGATTTTTTTAAATTTATATTTCATATCTATAACAACCAAACGTGTAGAGTTGGATTTAAAAAATCATAACAACGACGTTTATGAAAAATAAGAAATTATTTGTGGTACACTAAATCTACTTCGAATTTGCTTTAAAATGTTCTTTGTTTCATGATGATATCTCAATTCGTTCTTAAGATACGATTTTTTTAAGTTTATATTTGTTATTTATAACAACCAAACATGTAAAGTTGGGTTTTAAAAAATCATAACAAGGATGTTTATGCAAAATAAGAAATTATTTATAGCACATCAAATCTTCATTAAATTCGCTTTAAAACGTTTTTTATTTCATAATGATATCTCAATTCGTTCTTAAGATACGATATTTTTAAATTTATATTTCATGTCTATAACAATCAAACATAGAGTTGGATTTAAATAATCATAACAACGACGTTTATGAAAAATAAGAAATTATTTGTGGTACATCAAATCTTCATTAAATTTGCTTTAAAATGTTCTTTGTTTCATGATGATATCTCAACTCGTTCTTAAGATACGATTTTTTTAAATTTATGCTTGTTATCTATAACAACCAAACATGTAAAGTTGGGTTTAAAAAATCTTATTAATTATTTATAGCACATTAAATCTTTATTAAATTTGCTTTAAAACGTTCTTTATTTCATACTGATATCTCAATTCGTTCTTAAGATATGATATTTTTAAATTTATATTTCATGTCTATAACAATCAAACATGCTCAATTGGATTTAAATAATCATAACAACGACGTTTATGAAAAATAAGAAATTATTTGTGGCACATTAAATCTTCTTCGAATTTGCTTTAAAATGTTCTTTGTTTCATGATGATACCTCAATTCGTTCTTAAGATAAGATTTTTTTTAATTTATATTTCATATCTATAACAACCAAACGTGTAGAGTTGGAATAAAAACTCATAACAATGATGTTTATGCAAAATAAGAAATTATTTATAGCACATCAAATCTTCATTAAATTTGCTTTAAAACGTTCTTTATTTCATAATGATATCTCAATTCGTTCTTAAGATACGATATTTTTAAATTTATATTTCATATCTATAACAATCAAACATGCAGAGTTGGATTTAAAACATCATAACAACGATGTTTATAGAAAACAAAATATTATTTATGGTACATTCAATCATCATCAAATTTGCTCCAAAATGAGTTTTATTTCATGATTATATCTCAATGCGTTCTTGAGATACGATTTTTTAAAATTTGTATTTCACATCTACAACAATCCAATATGCAGAGTTGGATTTAAAAAATCACAATAACCATGTTTATGCAAAATAAGAAATTATTTATAGCACATTAAATCTTCTTTAAATTTGTTTTAAAACGTTCTTTATTTCATAATGATATCTCAATTTGTTCTTGAGATACAGCTTGGAATAATCAAACATGCCAAGTTTGATTTAAAAAATCATAACAACGACGTTTATGTAAAATAACAAAATATTTATGGCACATTAAATCTTCATCAAATTTGTTTTAAAACGTTTTTTATTTCATGATGATATCTCAATTAGTTTTTGAGATAAGTCAAGATTTATCTCATCGTTTGCTACATTTGCCAAACTGTAGATATCAAATCTTCCATTAGCAGTATGTCAGTAGCAAGCAGTATATTTCAGCAAATCGAAAGTGGTATATGGTTAGCAGTCCTTTAGCAGTCTAGTCTTCTGGATGCAATATTTGGTCTTCT